AGGTTCTGAGGTCAATAATTTGCCTTAGAGCATATTAGCAAGCAGCAGAATAATTTCAAATCCATATTTGACTCCAAAGCCTCTTCCCACCATGCTCAGCTGACCTTTAGGAAGAGAATTTTAAGGAATCCACATATGTAGAATTGGAAGTCCTCTAGTGCTAGTGGAGGTATAAATATAAGTAGACGGCATGTGTTTCAGCAGTATCTTTTAGAACCATGCTTCAAGTTGGCAACAGAAATAGAGATCCTATTAACCTGTTGGCCAAGAAATGGGGAAATGTAACCTCCATTAACAGTTTTTTTTTGGTTGTTGTTTTTTTGTTTGTTTTTAAGCAAGCAGAGTCTTCAAGGGAAAACTAGGTTTTATTTACAGGTAAGAAACCTTGGAGTTTTGGGTCATCCTTCTGAGAGTTACAAAGAGGGATAGATAGGAGGGACTAGGGCTCTAAGGCTCAGGAAGCATGGTAGCTGAGCTCATAGGAATAAAGAAGGGACTGAGAGGGCTTGGAGTTCCATCAGGACATGTGGAGTTCCAACTGCAATGCCAGAGAAGTGTCAAGAAAAGTTATCCTGCATGAGTTGCCAATAAACAAAGCCTAAACCTCACCCCCCTCCTTCTTTCTCCTTTATCCATATCTCAGGTAAATCTTGTGTGAGTAAACTACAAACTTCTATGAACAGGAATAGGAGGCAATATTTACCAAATGCCTAATGTATGCCTGCATCCTGCAATGAAATTGACTTAAATATTTATTGCAATGCTACAATTGGTCCTGTTTTACAGCTGCTGAAACCTTTAGAATGAGAGCTGATGTGGCCAAAATCATGACATCAGTTTGAATTCTCCTTGATTTTGTTGATCCATGGCAATTTTTATACACAAGCTTCACAGTCAATTGTGAAACATTAATTTAGTGGCTTCTGACCTTAGGTGAAAAGAATCTTGCAGACCTAGACTAGAGCAGATGTTCTGGTTTACATTAAGAAGATGGAGAGCCCCAACTCCACCTCTTTGGATAAGCAACCAGGCAGACTTTGAAGGTAACAAGAATCCATAATTCAGCCAGGTGTGATGATTCATACCTGTAATCTTAGCAACTAAGGAGGAGAAGGCAGGAGTACTGCAGGTTTGAAACTAGCCTGGGCAGCTTGTGAGAGCCTGCCTAAAAAAATAACAAAGGGCTGGGGATGTAGCTCAGAGGTAGTATCACATGTACACACATACAAATCTGTAGTTTATAGGCATGAGTTCTTAGCACAGGAAAAGATAGGTGAAGACAGATGAAGAGAAAGGTTGAAGCTTAAATGAAAACAGGGGGGAAATACCCTAGGAGAGGAATTCCAATAGCCCAGAATCTGTTGGAATGGAGTTAGTTACTCTTCTCTCATCACTGTTTTACCAGGATATAGCTCTAACAGGAGAAACAAAAACAGAGCTGGCGCTGGACACCTGAAATCCCAGCAACTCGGGGGGCTGAGGCAGGAGGATCACAAGTTCTAAGGCAGCCTCGCAGTTCAGCGAGGTACTCAGCAACTCAAGAAGACCGTGTCTCTAAATAAAACATAGAAAAGGGCTGGGGATGTAGTTCAGTGGTAGAGAACTTGCTTAGCATAGCATGGGTGAGGCCCTAGTTAAATCCCCAGTGAGAGTTACCACTCCTCACCAAAAGAAAAAGGGAAAAAAAAATTGAATAAACTCAGTATGAAAGGGAGTTTTTTTAAAAAAATATTTTTTAGTTGTCACTGGACATTTATTTATATATGGTGCTGAGAATCAAACCCAGTGCCTCACACATGCTAGACAAGCACTCTACCACTGAGCCACAACCCCAGCCCTGAAATGTTATTTCTGCAAGAAAATATTCCTTCAAAATATATCCTTACAGGAAAGGGGGAACAAATGATGGCATCTAAAGTATGTAAGGTGCTTCACATTGATTTGTTCTTTTTTTGGAGGCGAGGGGTTACTGAAGATTGAATCCAGGGGCACTTTACCACCAAGCTACACCCAGCCCTTTTTATTTCTGAAGACAGGGTCTAAGTTGCTGAGGCTGGCTTTGAACCTGCAATCCTCCTGCCTCAGCCTCCTGAGAGGCTGGGATTACCAGTGTGCCTCACCATTTTTGGCTAATTTGTTCTTCAAATCCATCCTGAAGAAGATGGCAAGTTTCATTTATGACCGAGGAAACTAAAGCTTATGGGAGCTAAGAACTCACCCGAGGTCAAAGCTGATAAATGAAAACGAAAATTTGATACCAGATCTGCCTGCTTTTTACACTACCATATTGCCTAAATTGCTATTTCTCACAGGGATACAATATAGATCTATTTTAACTCTTTATTTCTGATTTTTTAAAAAATTGTTAATGGGGATTGATCCCAGGGGTACCTTACTACTGAGCTACAACCCCAGCCCTTTTTATTTTTATGCTGACACAGAGTTTTGCCAAGTTGCTGAGGCTAGCCTTGAACTTGTGATTCTCTTGCCTTAGCCAAGCCGCCGGGATCCCAGGTGTGCTGCACTGGCTTCTTGACAATGTGATGTCCCATTTACTCCAAAATGTTTTTCATCCTTTCCCTCACACATAGAAAAAGATGTCACACCTCTACTGGACAGAAAGACCCATAGCCAGTTGTGAAATTTTTGTTATAAAACATTTAATGTTAACCTACAATACAATGTAAACCTTTATGAAAAAAATTTAAAGTACACTAGATTTCTTCAGGAAATTATCGCGTAACTATTCTGCTGCAGTACAAGTTGGGGCACTGCATCCTTTGTGGATGGATTTCCCATTGCTGCGTTCCTTACAAATCCTAAAAAACAAAAAACAAACAAACAAAAAAAAAACACCAGTTGTAAGGTGGAGCTCCTTGTTCAAGCACCAGGTGATAATACCCCCCTGACTTTGTTTTCTGGGAGTTACCACTCTTCATTTTCTGAAACTCTTTCCTTGGCCTTGGCACGGTTAACAATTTTCATAGTGACTGCTTAGTTGATTCCAGGTTCTTTTTAATTTTTTTTAAAGAAATAGTCTCCTTCTGCCATTCCTTCTCCAAATCTCATGGTAGAGGCAAGCAAGGAGAAATATTTGCTGCAGGAAATTCTGCACAAGTGGAAGAAAAGACCAGAAGGATCCCACCGAGGCTGCAAAAATTCAATGACCCCAATAGGTGTCTTTGCTTGATCGTGTTCCATGGTTATTCAGCTGTATCTACAACTTCAGTTTTGAGAGTGCAGAACAAAACTTCAAACAAGTGTTTTCTTCAGTTGATGACTTGCCATTTGAAATATCCCAGAAGTGATATGGAAATGAGCAAATGCTTGTAGCTTACCAGCACCTCAGCCTTTTCTCCCTTGCAGGTCCCATCAAGCTCCCAGAGGTCCTTGGGAGTAACAGATTGTACAGGCATTAAGTGACAAAATGTGCAGCCCATATTTCACCTACAAGGAAAGGAAATGGCATCCAGGCGGCAGTAGTAGGGGCAGCAAGGAGGCAGGCACAGGGTCTAAAAGGGACTAGATACGGGCAGGTGCTTCTGCTGAAGCTTCTTGAAACCTACAGTAAATTGGCAGGCTATCCCAAGAGTTGTATTGATAGAGGGACCTTGTCTTAATATTCTGGCATCTGACCTCCTTTACTAAACAGCTACCAAAGAAAGGCAAGAGGCATAAAGTGCACATTTTAGAATGAGACTGAGTTATTAAGGGGAGAAAAAAATAACTTCCCCAAGGAGATGTGGGCAAAATACTTACATTGTACACCCAGCCTAATGAAGGTCCTTCACACCCTCCCATGTGCTGCCAGGGAAATAGCTGTGAATTGCAAACAGAGAGGGAGGCTCTGAGTGGAGAAATTCCTCTTTGCATGGTTGTCAATGAGCACACTTCATCCAAGGTTGAGTGGAGAACATCATTCATCTGATGTCCACTCCAGACACATTTTGGGAATTTGTGAGGGGGTAGTTTTCCACCCATCTGGCTCTAGGACAGCAGGAAACCAAGTGGAAGAATGATAGATAGGTAGGAACAGAACTACTTTCCTTACAGATGGTGTTCTAGATTCCTGTATCAAGGCCACTGGAAAATTCTCACACTACCCAGGTATTATGGATGAGGTACCTCCCTCAGTCCCATGTGTTTACCTCAACAAACCTGCAGAGGGCTGCAGAGAACAGTAAGCCTATTACTACTAGTAAAGAAAGTGGTCCTTATGTTTTAGTTAATCAACAGAGAAAGCCTTTGGAGACGACATATCAATCAAGTCGTACTTTAAACTTGACCTGAAGCCCTGCCCTTCACAGCATGCTAGCAACCACAGGACTTCTGAAGGCTTCCATGTATAAGCCTGCACCCATCAAGCTATTGAACAATAGCATGTTAATACATGGCCTGACCCATGTACCCAATATCATAAACTCAACCACAGACAAGACATCCAGAGGCTGGGTGGGGGAAACTATTACTTCAATACAGCAATAGAGGGAGAGGATAGGACCGCCTCCAGCTGGTAGCTACATCAGAAAGTGATCTGTGCCTTTCAACAGCTTACAAAGGCTGGGAGTCCAGTCTTGTTTCTCTTCAGGACCTCTCCTCTGGTTCCATCCTTAAAACACACTTCCACTGACAGGCAGGGCACTCTCATGTGGTTCTGCTGGCTCCACAGCAGGCCATGTCAGTCCTTGGGAAGGCACCACGCTTGGCAATTCAGAAAAGCTGGGAGAAGCAGCATGCAATGTCAGAAGAGGAATGAAGAGCTGCTATCCTTTGGTTCGGACCCTTCACCACCACCTGGTACAGATCCAAGGCAAAGCTGCAGTTGTATGTAAAGGTGAACGTTCACCACACACATGGGTGTAATCTGTACATATATGGCCTTTGTAGGGCTACAGATTCCTCTATTCCTCCAAGTGGGGTGGTTAGGTGGTAAGAAAGGACGGCAAGAGTTGGACCAAAATAGGACCTCTCTGGGAACATGAGAGGGGCAATAGCAGAAATAAGCACAAACCAGCCCGGGGCACCTTTATTACACTATTATGGGCTAAAGGAGCCCAGGGCATAAACTCATGTTTAAGAATTGGTTCTTTATCAAACAATGTTAAGGAAAAGAAATACACCTATGTCAGCCTCAATCCTTTGGTCATTACAAAGCAAGAGAAACAAAGTTATACATAAACTGTGGCAGTTCAAGGAACATCTCTGTTCTGTGCTTTCTCTTCCCTCTCTTCTCCAGAGGTGGAAGAAGCAAGTCCTCAGGAGATGCTGCTGTAGCTGGTTGATAGAGGTTTTTCACTTTTATTTTCCATAAAAGCAAGAATGAATGGAAACTAGTGGGAATGTCCCCTTCCCCAGTTGGGACAATGGACGGGTTGGAGGTGAAGAGTCTCCATTCACTTGGAAGATGCATGGTACGGAGGCCATAGGGAAGGGTGAGTTTGCCAAGTGGGTACGTTCACTGCTAACCTCGTGCACACACACAGGTTGTGACTCTTGCAGGCAGCATGGTTTCTGATCCTTCCTTAGGATGCAGCAGTCTTTTAAAAAAAATATTGTATTATAATAATAATAATATGAATTTCTCTTTTTTTTTCTCCATTTCTTTTAGGGATTAGGGTAGGAGGGGGAGAGGAAGAAAAAGTGTCATTCGTCTGTTAGGTCCTGAACAAAGAGAACTTCTGTATGGCTGAGTCCCGCCTCCTGCAGTGTAGGAGGGGTGGGCCATTCCTCTGAAGGAACACAGGGCAGTACCCGCCTGGGAAAATTGGCTTCAATCTGAAACTTTTCGGGGCTTTCCTTCAAGGAGAATAAGAAGTCGTGGATTACCTGCAGAAGTCATATAGAAAAAGAATGACAGTGAGAAAAAGAGATGCATGCACCACTATAAAGTCAAATGTCACCCAACTCTTCCTAAGATGATTATGGGACATGAAGCAGTCATATTACACTGGAATTTTCAGGTGTTCCCATTTACCAGAACAAATATGTGGGGTAGTCCTTTAAAAAGAAATCACCTAAGATCAATATTAGTCCTACTCTGAATTGATTCATCTGTTAAAAAAAAAAAAAACACTTTAAAATAATCACAAAGTTACAAAAAATCAGGATGTGTAGGATATAGAATTTTTTTTTTCTTTGAACCAGGTCTGAGTGAGCTGCCAACCTGATGTCTCATCACCCCAAAATACTTGAAGGTATGTATGTTTTACAAACAGGACAACCTTCTACATGATGACAACACTGGCTTCAAAATCAGGAAATCTAGGGGCCGGGGTTGTGGCTCAGTGGGCAGAGTGCTTGCCTAGCATGCATGAGGCATTGAGTTCGATCCCCGGCACCACATAAATATAGACAAATAAAATAAAGGTATAAAAAAAATCAGGAAATCTAATTGACATATTATTACCATAATACAATATATCCCTCAGTATTCATGGGAGATTGGTTCCAGGACCCCACTGTGGATACCAAAATCCCCAGATGCTCAAGTCCCTTATATAAAATGAATAACAGTAACTCATTTCTGGATTGCTTATCATATCTAACAATGGAAATGCTATGTCGTTTATCTTCTGTTTTGTTTACAGAATAAATAATGACATTAAAATTTTTGATCTGTGTTGTTTGAATCCATAGATGCAAAACTCACAGATAGGGAGGGTTGGACTATATTACATTACTTGGGCCCCACTTAAGTTTTGCCAATTGTCTTTTCTAGCAAAAATTATCTAGTTTAGAACTGTTACATTTGTCATGACTCAAGTCTCCTTTAGTTCAGAAGAAATCATTCAATTTGTATATAAAGTATAGTCAAATATTTTTCAGAATGTCTTTCAGTTTGTCTGATATTTATTTATAATCAAATTCAGGTTGTGCATCCTTGATAGGAGTATTTCAGAAATGATGCTGCACTCTATTCAATGTACCCTATTCGATTGGAGCACATTTTTAATTTGTTCCATTATCTATGATGTTCATTTTGATTATCTGTTTCAGTTGGTGTCTGCCAGGTCTCTCCACTGAAGTTATGCTTTTTCTTCAGTTAGGATATATTTTGGGGATAGGATATATGTCTATTTCTATCAAACATTCTGAAACTATGTAGATATTCTGTTCCTTAAACATTTACATTTATTTGTAGCAATACAAATTTCTGTCTTCCTATTTTACTCAATAGGTTATAATGTTACAATCATTATTTTAATGTTCAAACTACTCCAGATACAGTCACCACGAATGGCTGCCTTCAGTATCTAACATGTCATCAATTTCTGAACAATTCCTTGCTTTCAGGGTCAAGATGTTCTAGGATAATCTTTTATATTCCTTGTCCAAGTCCTGGAATCAGGCATGTCCTCCAGAGAGATCTGGTTCTTCTTCTTTGTGGTGCTAGAGATTGAGTGAGTCCAGGACCTCATGCATGCTAGGCAAGTGCTCTACAACAGAACGTCATCTCCAGCCTGTTTTCTTAATGGACAATGGTATTCAAAAGCCAAGATCTTGGTGCTGGGTATGCTCATTTTGAATGGGAGGTGCTGTTTCTAGGCACTCACTATGGAGAATATGCCTATGTATGTATGGATAAACATATATACAAACTCCCACATCTAGTACATGTGTGTATAAAACCAAAACTTTAAATCTGTAAATCTATGACTCTCTATGTATATTCTTATTATGTTCAGATTTTTAGACACCAACCTGAGCTATCTGGACTCAGATTTGAGTTGCCATTCATGTAAACACACTCTTTAACCTGATCAAGATTTGACATTTGGGCTGGGGTTGTGGCTAAGTGGTAGAGTGTTTGCCTAGCACATGTGAGGCACTGGATTTGATCCTAAGCACCACATAAAATAAATAAAAGGTACTATGCCCACCAATAAATAAATAAATAAATAAATAAGAAAAAGATTTGATATTCTTAAAGAATCTGAGGCAAGAGGGTAGAAAGTTAGAGGCCAACTGGGGCAACTTATTGAGACCCTGCCTCAAAAATAAAATTTAAAAAGGGCCGGGGGACTGAAGTTGTGGCTCAATGGTAGAGCACTTGCCTGGCATATGTGAGGCCCTGGGTTTGATCCTTGGCACTGCATATAAATGAATTAATCAAATAAAAAAATCCACTGACAACTATAAAATATTTTTTAAAAAAGACTTAAAAACATTTAGTGCAAAGTGGGCAGTTAGCAGAACTTAGATTGCTAAAACTTAAAGTGTGAACAATCTGCTTGTATATAGGCCATGGTTATTTCTCCCTATCTCTTAATGCCCACATTAAGAACAGGTCATCTCCATCATGCTTCTATTTCTATCAAAGACTCTGTGTTGTGAATTGCGTTACTTTGTTTCAGGTCAACCCTCAAAATGAGGAACACACCATTCAAATTATTCTTCCTTTTGTTTTGTAAGAATATATTTTCTCGGGGCAGGGCTTGGGTTGTGGCTCAGCGGTGGAGCACTCGCCTCGCACGTGTAAGACCCTGGGTTCGATCCTCAGCACCACATACCAAAATAAACAAGTGAAATAAAGGTGTTGTGTCCAACTACAACTAAAAAATAAATATTAAAAAAAAAAAGAATATATTTTCTTTTTGTTCTACCTCTCAGAACAATGAATTTTCTTGGCTTTTTCCCTTCTGCATGAAGCAGTCTTTCTCTCCTTTGTCTTCAATTCTTCAGAGAATTTTAAGAAGCTACATTTTTAGAATTTATGGATTAAATCTATTTCTCCCTTATCTAATGACTTTATAAACTTGTCATATTTTAGTCCATCAACTTCAAGCATTTCCTGATTCTTTGCAATCTCCATTAATACTAACTCTCATTTTCTTAAGATGCATCAGTTAGATTTACATCAAGTATTCTTGGTATGAACCCAAAACAGGTTTCATCTGAGGGTAAAATAATATATATATATATATATATATTTTTCCTGGTGCTGGGGACAGAACCCAGGGCCCCATGCATGCTAGGCGAATGCTCTACCAGTGAGCCACATCCCCAACCCTGAAATAATACTTTGTATATCAATTATTGCTTGAGACTATCCAATATTCTTATAAAACTGGCATGTTTTCACTTACCAATGAAAAGAGCTGACACCACCAATAAACATGTCACCACATTATGTCCCTTTTAGTTTATAATGGACAGAAAGATGAGTGCGTGGCTGAGTATAAACTGGATCTCTTTTATACACATTTAATATTTATTTATTTTTTAGTTTTCGGCAGAAATAACATCTTTGTTTGTATGTGGTGCTGAGGATCGAACCCAGGTCGCACGCATGCCAGGCGAGCGCACTACCGCTTGAGCCACATCCTCAGCCCCTTTTATACACATTTAAGAGAAAGCCAGATGCCACTTTTCTGCCCACTCATGGAATTTAGAGATTTTATCCTTTTTCATTTTAGCATTTTACCACTATCAAGAGCTGAGCATCATGTGCAAATGTGTCATTCTCTGATATTATATGTGGAGATCCGAGCTGATAGGAAAATGACACAAGATCTAAAGAGCACTGAAACATTCTAAATCATTATCTGGTTATATGTTGTTATGTCTGTGAATGTTAAATTCCAGGCCAGAATCAGCACTGCACTTCTCCTCCTTTATACTTTCTTTCTCCCTTTGCAAGCCCAATTTAAAACCAAACATTTCTTTCAGCCTCAGCTGGTTATGATGTTCTTTTTTTTTTTTTTTGGTACTGAGGATTGAACCCAGGATGTTTTACCACTAAATTATATCCTATTATTTTTTTATTTTGGGACAGAATCTCAATATTAACTGCTTAGGGCTTTGCTAAGTTGCTGAGGCTGGCTTCAAACCTATGATTCTCCGGCTTTACTCAGCCTCCCAAGTCACAGGGATTATAGATGTGCACACCGGGCCCAGCAGGATGGTCTTTTTTAAGAAACATCTTTTAGGGAGAAACCTATTTACAAGTCTTTAGTTGAAAAGAGCTCCCAAGGGAAATACTGAAGACTGATATTGGCTAAATTATATTATGTGCATGTATGAATATGTAACAACAAATTCCACCACTATGTACAAATATAATGCAGCAATTAAAAAAATATGGAAAAAAGAAATAAATGGTTCCTCTTTAATCACAGGCCTATTCTTATTCTGTTCTACAATTTTTTTGGGGGGCGGGGGTGGGGAGTGCTGGAGATTGAACCCCGGACCTTGTGCATGCGAGGGAAGCACTCAACCAACTGACCTATATCCCCAGCCCACATTCCACAATTTAAAAAATAATAATAATTTTAGTTGTATACAGACACAATACCTTTATTTTATTTATTTACTTTTATGTGGTGCTGAGGATTGAACCCAGTGCCTCACATGTGCTAGGCAAGTGCTCTACCACTGAGCTACAAGCACAGCCCATGTTCCACAATTTTAATAGATTTTTTTCCTCTAAAACTCTCAGAAGAGTAAATTGTGGTTATTTTATATACAGTTTTATCTGAGCTTTGGGGCTAGAAATTCCATAGAGCTCAGACGTACAAACTGTGAAACTTAGTAATACAAGCTAAAATCCACATGTCCATGTAAAACATGTAACTTGAGCAAGCAACTTAATAATATTACTATACCAATTTTACCAAAGAAGAAATTTAGGCTAGATATGTATCGCAACTAAAGAAATATATCTAGTAACTCTGATAGTATGACAGTTTGGTTCTCATTCTGTGAGACTCTAATAAGAGTCTCTGCTTTTAATTACTTACCTATGGAAATGACAATAACAAATATGGATTCCAAATAAAAAAGGAGCCTCAGGAAGTGGGGCTTCTTATATGATAAGAAGGGCATAAAGGGAGAGATAAAGGCACCTGAACTACTTATATATATTCAGATATGTAATTCAGTGATTCTTAGGTCACTGAAGACAAAGCTTTCTTTAAACAACCAGGAGTTCTGAAGTCAATGTCAAAAGAGAACCTGGAAGAACCTCAAAGACATGGAAGAACATGGCCTTCTTCTTTTTTTTGTTTAGCAGAGTTCAAACATTATAATGAAAGAAAACCTTTTGAAAAAATGCTTTGAGCTCAGGCTGGGGTTGTAGCTCAGTAGTAGAGTGCTTGTCTCGAAAGCGTGAGACACTGGGTTTGATTTTTAAAGATATTAAAAAAAAAAAAAAAAAGTGCTGATAGCCAGAAAAAAAGCTGATAGCCAGAAAAGAAGAAACCTTCAATAGTTATTGTACTCTTCCTGGTGTTTTCTGATGTCACACCCGTTCTCTTGTTTCCTTCCCTGTTCATCAGAGCTGAAGATATACTAATAACACTCTCAGAAGGCTATGTAGGGGCTCAATGGTAGAGTGCTTGCCTAGCATGCACAAAGCCCTGGGTTCAATCCCCAGCACTGCAAAATACAGAAACAAACAAAACAAAACAGAACAAAAACAAATAAGGAATGAAGGCTATAAAAGCTTCTATACCTATGACCCAGATGTCAGAAACACTTCAACCCACTTAAGTGATGCTTACTGTTAGAGACTGTGAAAAGTGGAATCGTCTCTCTACTCGAGAATCATTGGGTAATTTGAAAATTATCTTGACACTTTCAGGGTCATCTGGGGAAGGCTCAGGAGGCAGGCACTCCAACTTCCTTTCCTTTTCCTCCTGTAAGTTCTGTAGAGACAAAAGCAAAGGTGAATACAGCTCAACTACAGAAACAGGATCATGTAGGTTTATTATGCACTCAGAAGAAAAACTAACAACTAATTACTCAGAAAAACCCCTGGAAAGAGACAAGAAACAACTATTGCATCACATATGTTATTTACTGATCATGTTCAGGTATTAGACTATTTGAGGAAAAGGGTAATGGCTAAAAGACCCTGGCTATAACAAGTACATTACTGAAACGTGTTATCAGCTTACACTAGTACTAAGAATGAATAAGGTCAAAAAATTATAAATCACCCATAATTACCACATAATTTTTCCTTTCATGTTTTCTTTTCTTTTTTTTTTGTTGATGGACCTTTATTTTATTTTTTTAATTTTTTATTGTTGGTTGTTCAAAACATTACATAGTTCTTGATATATCATATTTCACACTTTGATTCAAGTGGGTTATGAACTCCCATTTTTACCCCGTATACAGATTGCAGAATCACATCAGTTACACATCCATTGATTTACATATTGCCATACTAGTGTCTGTTGTATTCTGCTGCCTTTCCTATCCTCTACTATCCCCCCTCCCTCATGTTTTCTTTTTCACATTTTTTTTCCACTTTTTTTTTTTTTTTTTAATTTCTCTAAGTTCTCCAGGCTGGCCTTGAACTTAAGATCCTTCTGCTTCAGCTTCCCAAGTAGCTGGAATTGCTGGTGTGTGTCAACACCAGGTTCCTTTCACACTTAAGCAATCTCAGTAGTTTGGGAATCACAGAGAACAGAGGCATGCTCCATCACCTGTCGCCTTCTCTCTTCTGCCAGCTTCTGCTGTTGCACCTCCTCCTCCTTCCGCCGCTTCCGCTCCCGTTCCTCCCTTTTCTTCCTTTCTTTCTCCTGGTCAGCCCTGAGAGAGGCCAAATAGGCCTCATCCTGCTGTTGTCTCAGCACCTGGGTCTGGTTCCTTTCTTCCCTATGAACAGATCAAAAGTATAAAAAGGAAAACAGCAATTTCACATAGCTCTGCGTTTTCATTACCCCCACCCCCCGCCCCTCTTTTTGTGTGTGGCATTCAGAATTAAACCCAGGGTTTCATGCAGTACTGACCATATCCCCAGACCTCTGTGAATTTTTATGTTGAAAATTTGGAACAGGGTGAAAATGTTGATCTTCTGAAGGATTTTAAAAGCAGAGAATGGCAGAATCTGAAAGAGCCATCTCTTTCCTCAGTGTAAGTTGGCAGGAAAAGAAATTACAAGCTTCCCTCTCAATTTTTAACTTTTAAAATAAAAGCTTATCCTTTATCATAACATTATTATTATTATTTTGAAATGATCATCAATACTGTATTTTATAAATACCCTTCTAAATTTCTGCACTATTGTATACACAGCACTTGACTCATACATACATCATAAAAGATTTGAAAAAGGTAGAAACGTTATTCAGAATTCTACTAACCACAATAACAACCCTTATCAAACCACCCCCATGACCAAAAATGAATTCCACTAAAAACATAAAATATCATAACAATTTGGTGTATTTCCTATTTTTTCACATAGCACAAATATTTAGCCAATCAAAATGGTTGAATAAATACATATTCTTATTTTATACTTTCTTCCCTTTTTTTTTTCCTTCCAGTAATGGGGACTGTATCCAGGGACACGGTACCACTGAACTACATTCCCAGAACTTTTCAGTTTATTTTATCAGGGTCTAAGTTGCCCAGGCTGGCCTCAAACTTGCAATCCTGCCTCAGCCTCCTGAATTGCTGGGATTACAAGTAAGTACCACCATGTCCGGCTCACAATACTCATTCCTGAGGATAAAGCCCTATATTTTGATTTATACCTCTAAGAACAGATGAAATGATGTAGAGTAATTCAGGTCAAAACATGCAAACATCTTGACCCCAATTAGGGAGGACTATTAAAATTGCTTAAGAGAAGGGAAAAAGGGTTTGTGGAGTTCCATGTCAGCCCTCCAGATACACAAACCGATCTCTTCCTTTCAGAAAGTCTCTCATACCTTTCTAAGCGTTCTGACACCAGGTATGTCTGGTTTGCATCCATAATAAATGTTAGCTGGTTAATGAGGTCATCGGGTTGAATAAGGCCCTCTAACCGTCCCACCACAGTCATTCTCCGATCCTTCAACATAATCATGGCCAGGAATGGATAGGTATTCTCTCGTAAAGCCTGTGAGACTGAAAGAAACACCCAAGAGATTAAGGGCAGAACTTGGGGATAAAACGAATCAACTCTCAAATTTTCCATAAAGGGAGAGAGAAAACTGCTTTAATCCCGTTGAGATAAATGGGAAATAACATTCATCTCTGCTTCTCTTTTCCCTTCCTAGACATTTTTTGTTTGTCTTTTTTTTTTTTTAACCTCAGGGATTGAACTCAGGGGCACTTAACTACTGAGCCACTTCCCCAGTCCTATTATTTTGTATTTAGAGACAGGATCTCACTGAGTTGCTTAGCACCTCACTTTTGCTGAGGCTGGCTTTGAATTTGAGGTCCTCCTGCCTCAGCCTCCCAAGGCACTGGGATCACAACCGTGCCCAGCTCCCTTCCTAGATTCTTAATCTTTTCTCTTTAAGGGTGTGGGGGAGAGGGGGGTTACCAGGATGGAACTCTGGGGTAGTTGACCACTGAGCCACATCCCCAGCCCTATTTTTGTATTTTGAGACAGGGTCTCACTGAGTTGCTTAGGGCCTCACTTTTGCTGAGGCTGGCTTTGAACTTGTGATCCTCCTACCTCAGCCTCTGAGCTGCTGGGATTACAGATTTATGCCACCGCACCCAGCTCTCTATGTTATATTTTTGAATCCCCACACCTAGGTGCTTAATTAGAATAGGACAGGCTTTCCAGGGGTGTGGTTAGTATATTGCAGACTTCAAAGACAATATCTTCCTTATGGTAGGAAAAGAATCTAAAAAAAATCTTTCTACTGTTTAGCATAGTTCACCCTAGGGGTCAAGCCTAAAAGGGGACAAGTTTACAAGTCTCACCTAGCCTGATGCTACTGGCGATGATTCCCAACATCATCTTCTATCTTTTCTTTTTCTTGCTTAATTTCCTTCCTTATTACTTTCCCTTGGTCTAAAAAGGCTGTTCTGCTCCAAAGGAGAAAGAAAGATGGTCTCCAAATAACCAAAATTTGACCATAATGGAGTTCCATTTTCCTTATAAGAAGGGATTTTATAAATCTCTATAAAAAGTATCCTTAGTTTTTTCTCTTCATCTCCACTACCAGCCTCACAAAGCCATGTTAGAATGGCAAAATGTATGCTGCAGGAACATATCAGATGTTTAAGACATAATTAGGGAGTAAAAAGATTCAGATTCCAGGATGCAAGGAAAACACCTGCTGCATCTTTGGTTATTAAGATCAGCATAATGCCTGACATGCTATCACACACTCAGGGCTGCTGGAGACAAGGAGCTACAGAACAATGCCTTTTTCTTCACTGGATGTCTTCGTATCTTCTAATGACTTCTAAAAATATTTATCTCCAATTAAGAGTTATTGTCAGCAAAGACCTGAGCTTCCTAAGTCCATATCAGCACTCAGGGTACTCAAACAGCTAACTCACTCTGCAAGAAGCTCTGTTAAAATTGCTGATGAGGAGAATAAATTCTTCAATAAAAATACCCATTGAGATTAAAGTGCAAATTACTAGCTAAGGCTCATTTTTAAAAATAAAAGTCTCTGGCAATGGTTAACTGTAAAGAATGAAAGTCTGTCAGACATGATCTTGCTCCAAAACTTATTAACTATGTGATCTCAAGCCTGTGGCTTAAACTCTCTGAGACCGTTTCCTAAGCCACAAAGTAGAGGTAATACAATCCTCTCATGACTGCTAAGAAGATTAAATAACAATATAAAAACCACAACTAGTACAGTGTCTACCACAGAACAGTCATGTTACAAATGACATGGTGTGTCTTTCAAGACCTTGGCAAAGATACCCCAATAATCTCAATAAGACAAAAGAAACACAACCTACCCCTGTATCCCTCAGGCTTGTTTGTAGAACATGCCCAGAACAGCATTCTCGTATTTATTAGTGAAATAACTTCAGGTGCACAGAGAGTATTGCTGTGGAAAAAGATGAAAAGAAGTAAGAACAACTTGTTGACTATAAACTGTCAGCAGAAAGGTCAGAAAAGAGAAAGAAAACAATTAATTAACTTACCGACAGAACTCATCAGAGTCCTGGTGGTCATCTCCATGAAGATAAACCAAAAGAAAGCGAAGCTCCCGCTTGGCATCATTAAGTGCCTATGAGAAAAAGAAGATCACTAATTATTATAAAAACAGTGCCCTGACCTTTTACTGAGGCTAAGGGTCCTAACATATACACTACAAACATAAGAAAAAAAGAAAAATAAGGAAAAAATGTGAGCAAGAAACCTAAAAAGATCCTGGGCTCCTACCTTTGCACCCCTGGTATTTTTCTCCCCATAAGAAGTCCATACTAATAAGCTTTAATAAAAAGGTTTTAGAGTTGTTAGGATTTAAATTGTATCAAGCACATGAGAGTAGACAAGCTGACATACAAAGGTTCCCTACAAATCACAGAAAAGCCAGCTGTTCCCACAGTCTAAAGAAAAAACAGGAGAATCTGACCAGGTGAAAAGGGAGGTGAGAACTGTCACTTCACAGCTATAACATCCTTGAAATTAAAAAAAAAAAAAAAAAACCTGCGAAGATGACCCTGATCATAGGCCGCATAACAAGCAGGAATGAAGGATTATGGGACTCAAAGTCATTCTAAGGAGCACAGGATTTAAAAGATTCTCAAAGTTAAGGCTAGTGTCCAAGAGTCTTGTTTATACTTTTGCATGTGTTTACTTCTGAGCACCATTTACTTTAATTATTTTCTGAATGGCCAATGGTGGTCTACCCCTAGGATCACAGGAAAGAGGGTACATGAGAGGTGCACATCTTTTTCATCCCTGTGTCTCCAGCATTCAGCACAGGGCCTTAATGCCATTAGTAGATGTTTGCTGCTGGTTGGTTGCAGTGGTAGCAGCCAGCAAGGAGAATAACTGTGAGAAAAAGCAGATGTGGGAAAATCAAAGCAGAAGCAAGGATAAGCAGTTTTCTCTTTCTCTAGATAGATTCAGGAATTCTAAAGGCTGCAGAATAAAACTACCCTTTTGCCAATATCCACAGTCTTAATTCTCTTTTTCTCTTACCAACTACAGAAATGCCAAACACCCAGAAAACTCCAAAGTTTTCCTTCCCTAGGAGGTGATAGTCAGAGGTCTAAGTGGCTTAGGATAAATGAGATGAGCTACCCTGAGTCTAAAACTTATTCTGTAAGGGGTCAAAAAAGATTTAGCCTTTGCATTCAAGCCATGTACAGTCTGGTAAAGGATATAAGACATGAACTCAAATAATTATAAGGAGGAAGTGGAAAATGCTATAAATTTAAAAAGGGGCAGGGGGAGAACAAAAGGAGAAATTAATATTTTAGACTACAAGGTAGGGCAGAACAGAACACAATAATTAGAATGGTTAGAAAGGGGAATGACATGAGCTGGTTGAAGATGGGCAAGATTTCAATTAGCCAAAATGTGAGGAAGGCATTCCATGTGGAGGGAATAGCAAAAGCAAAGGCACAGAGGTAGGAAAGTATAGAGTGTGTTGAGGGAAGGGTTTGGCTGGAACGTAGGATATAGGGAAATAAGTTATGCAAAAAGACCTCAAAAGAACATTGGAATTAGATCAAAGAGGGCCCAGCTAAAAGGTATAGTTTTTTTTTTTGTTGTTGTTGTTGTGGTTGTTGTTTTCTTTCCCTGTAAGCAGTGAAGAGCTATTTAAGATTTTAGAGTAAAAAACATGATCAGTGCTGGGCTATGCTTTCCTTTGAGGACAGAATCACATCAGTAAGTTGGTATCTACATGGTTTGTGGCACTGACCTGGCTGTACGTTCCCTGGTAGAAGACAGGGTGTGCCCTCCCATATTTCTCTTCAAAAGAGTGCATAAATGAAACAATGTCCCCAACGGGGTCAGTGACCCGGCTGCGAGGGTCAGGCCGTATAAAACGAAGAGCAAACCTGGGGAAGAAGGAATAAATAATCACATGAATCCAGGTTACTGTAGTGCATATGGAGTGGGCCCATTTGTACAGTTTCCTACAACAGAGCCAGAGGCATGGCAGCAAGGGGAGGTGAATGGTCTAAGTGGATCATCAAACCTGGGAGTAGAATCTGGCTCAAAAGCCATCAAGCTGCAAGTGTTGTTCCATGGCCTGTTCAAGAAGAATGCAAACTACTAGGATTATAAATACCAACATTGGCCTAAACAAATGACTGGAGTGCTTTCTGCAGAAGGGGTGGAAAAGGAAGATACTATGGTAAAAAAGACTAGGGGTCAGGCCATGCTCCCAGACACTGTTTAATAGAGTAGCACTGACCATTAGCCACTATGGCTATTCTAAATTTAAATGTTATTAAATCAAAACAATTAAAAATTCAATGCCTCAGTCAGACATGCCACATTTCAAGTGCTTCACAGCCATGTGGTCAGTAGCTTCCATACTGAACAATGCAGAGATACTGAACAGTGCAGAGATAGAATGATTCCATCATCACAGAAAGTTCTACTAGACAGTGCTAATCTAGAACAGACACCTCTTTCTATTTGTCCTATTTGCCCCTCTCTCTCGTTTCTGTTCTCCTGGTATTTTGGGTTTTTGTTCAAACTCCAAAGCAATTCAAATTATGGACTGAGACTTCAATCCTGAACTTTTTGTGATTTACTTGCTCTTCAAAGGGGCAAGTAAATTGGTTTGATAATTTATGGTTGATGTGTCCATGAAGGAAGATTTTTTAAAATAATCCACGACATACTGACAGATTTGTAGTATGGGTAGCTACTGTAAAGTTAAGGATGCATTACCTGATGATAACACACATCTATTCCTAAAGAGCCCATTCTATTTGTATAGCACCATTTCTTTATGCTTCAAGCTTCCATAGAAGGCAATGGGACAGGGGCCAATGTGCTACATAAACAAGTTGCCTGGATGATACAGCTGCATTAAAATTAGTAACACATGCCATGCATATTTTCCCAAAGAAAGCAAACAATAGTCATTTACTTCAACTTTCAGCACAGAAAAGGTGACTAAACTATGACATCTTCTTTATCAAATTCTAAGCCAATTCCTTCACCCCTCAACAAATCCCCCATGTGTATATAATTAGACCAGATATTTTTCTGAGTAATCAAACCAAATTCATTGACACAAACATTCCACAGAAAATAAGAAACACAAAATGTAATAAGTTGTGTATGTAAGAGAGTCATTAGAAATCTTGCATAAAATTGATATTGTCTACTTTCTCTGAAATACTTTAGGGTTATCTTTTTAAGCATTCAAAATTTGAGAAATGGATAAAGATTTTAACTTTTTTATTTCTCATCACAACACATTCCTACAGCCAACACAATTTAGGACAGAGTCTTCATTATGATTTTAAAGGTTTTAAATGTGCCCATTCCTACAAGGATGAAAAAAGTACCAAGCAGGTAATTAGTGGCCATTAAGAACTTTGCTAAAGCAAGGAAGCCATTAAGCAGACAGTCTCATAAAACACCAAGAGGCCAAGGTATTATCTGATCCTTAAATTTCTGTAGCTGCTAGGTCCTAACTTCTAGCCCATCACTTCCAGCTTCTGCTCCTTAGAGCAGAGCAAAGCCAACCCCATATTTGGAGGAAGGTAAAGGTTATACTGTATGCAAGGCACAGGTCACATTTCTAGCTCCACCTGCTGGACTGAATACCCAAAACATGTTCATTTCCCATATAGCTTAGGTGTAGCTCTAGACAGATACACCAAATCTGAAAGTCAGGCTCCACTCAGCATTTCCTAACCTTGGACCCTCTGTAGCCTCCAACAATGAGCTCTTTGATTGTAACATGAAGGAAGCTAGAAGGTGAAGTTATAAAGCAAGTGGGTATATATGCAAAAGGGATCCAGTGTCAGCATCCTAGAGATTGTCAGGGTAGAGGGAAATGTACATGACAGAGTGTCTAGAGAGATGCCACTATCGTAGGAGGAATCCAGGGCAAAGTAGGTGACCTCAGACAAGAGAATTTGTTGAGATTATGAGTAGTCAGATGGAGAAGTAGTTTAGGATAAAAGTTCCAAGGAGTGTGAAGTTAGGAGATAATGGTGGTTAGAAAGTAAAGGATGTGGGGATTAACTAGGAAATGTAGAAGTGACAAACATGGTGGAGGGAGAAAGGGGTGACCAATAAATGTAGGCAGATTGATTCTTGCAAACAGACAAGACTAACTTAAAACAATTCCATTATATAACATCTGCAACTATGCTTGAACAATTTAAAATATTTTAAACTATAGTAAAAGTTCAGGAAGAATATTCAATCTGATAACAAACTGGCAAGTCAAAATTGATAAAAGCATAAAATTTATGCTCATCTAAGCTTCAGTCCCAAGGTCTACACTGTTGTTATTAATACATAAATATAGAGGTACATACCTAAATATATCAAGTATTGTATAATAGGTAAACCGGAATGGAAGCATTATCAAGTAATAACCCCATCCAAGCAGCCCCTGAAATTCCAAAAACAAAGTTAGAGACTATTCTTCCAATCTCTAATAACTTACAAAATAGCTAATTTAAATTTTTGCACTTTTTTATCCTTTCATATGTGATTTCCCCCACTATGATACTCCTCTTCCCCTCTTCCTCATCACCTTCTCCTTGTGTGTTTGTGTGTGTGTGTGTGTGTCTGTGGCAGGGGGTTTGGGGGGCATGCACGCATGTACAGGGTACTAGGGATTAATGCCAAGGCCTTGTGCATGCTAGGCAAGCACTATTTAAAAAGAGCTGCATCCCCAGCTCTTTTTAAATTTTCTTTTTGAGTCAGTGTCATTAAACTTAATGAGACCCCAGGCTGGTCTTAAACTTGTGATCCTCCTGCCTCAGCCCTCCAAGTAGCTGGCATTACAGGTACATGCCACATGCTGGGCTACCTTACTTTTTTTTTTTTTAAACTTTGTCCTTCTCAAATGCTACGGCCTTTGATCTCATTCCATTTAATACTATTGTTTTTCCTTTTTTTTTAACCTGACTTTGTCTTTTATTTTTTTTTTTTAATTTTTAATATTTATTTTTTAGTTTTCGGCGGACACAACATCTTTGTTTTGTATGTGGTGCTGAGGATCGAACCCGGGCCGCACGCATGCCAGGAGAGCGCGCTACCGCTTGAGCCACATCCCCAGCCCCCTGACTTTGTCTTAAATCTCCTTTAACACTTTTCCTGCAGCTGCTTCCACTGGCTATCAAATTCAACCATAAGTTTGCCTCTCCAAATAATAATATTCATTCTTTTCTTTCTAGATATATATATATATCAAAATATAGTATGTAGATATAGAAAGATCTACTTGGACATTTGTATGTAAATGATAAGTATACTACCACAATAACAAATCCTCATACAGCTGATAGGCTTAGTATTAATACCAACTATTAATGTGATTATTACTATTGTTATTATTAACTAGTAAACATACAGGGCTCTGTAGTTTACAAAGCACTGCTCAGATATCATATTGTGCTAACCTGAAACAGCCAGGGAACTCTGGAGCCCCACAGTTGACATTAGGGTCCCAAACACCTAGTCAAGCCTAAAGCAAGATAGAGAAACACTGGGCATACACAGAACTACTCTATGAGTTATATAATTCTTTAGGAATCTATACTCTTCTACCTCAGGATATCTTAAAACAAGTATGGTAGCTGCCCTCCTCTTTATCCACAGTTCTACTTTTTGCAGTTTCAGTTACCTATATAGTCAACCAAGACTTGAAGATATTAAATGGAAAATTCAGAAATAAAGAATTCATAAGTTTTAAAGTGCATGCTATTCTTATTGTGATAAAAATCTCACTCCACCCTACTCCATCCCACCCAGGATATGAATTGCCCTTTTGTTGAGTGTACTGTGTATTATATCAACCCATTAATCAATGAGTGGCCATCTTAGTCATCAGATTAACTGTCAAGGTAATGCAGTGCTTGTGTTAAAGTAGCCCCTACTTTACTTGATAATAGACCCAAAGCAAATGAGTAGTGATGTTGCCAATCTGGATATGTAAAAAAAAAAATTAGAAGGTGTTTCCTTTAAGTGAAAAGGCATAAGTAAGAAAGAGAAAAATATTCTATGCTGAGGTTGCTAAGATATATGGTAAGAACAAATTTTTATTCATGAAATTGTGAAGGAAAAAAAAAAATCCATGCTAGTTTTGCTGTTGTACCACAAACTGCAAAATTTACTGCTGCAAGGAGTAAAGCAGTTGCCTAGCATGTGTGAGGCCCCAAGTCTAATCCCCAGTACCACCAAAAAAAAAAAAAAAGAAGAAGAAGAAGAAAAAAGAGAAAGTTACATCCATAGTATGTGATAGGTGCTTAGGTAAAATGGAAAAGACAACAACCCGGGAGGCTAAGGCAAGAGGATCATCAAGTTTGAGGCTAGTTTCAGAAATTTAGCGAGACCCTGTCTCAAAATAAAAGTAAAGGACTATGTGTAGCTCAGTGGTAGAGTACCCCTGGGTTCAATCCCCAGGAGCTCCCCCCACAAAAAAGATGTTCAAGGTTTGGTACCATTGGTAGTTTTAGACATCTACTAGAGGTCTTGAAATGTATCCTTCAAGGATAAAGATGAACTACTCTACTTAAACAGTACTGACTGTATTTATCTATTTAGACAGAGTTCTGCTATGTTGCCCAGACTGGCCTTGAACTCATGATCCTCCTGCCTAAACTCTAATTTTAAAACATCAAGTATTCCGCTGGGTACAGTGGCACACACCTGTAATCCCAGCTGAGGAAGGAGGATCCCAAGTTCAAGGCCAGCCTGGGCAACTTAAGTAAAAAATAAGGACGGGGGATTTGGCTCGGTGGTAAAGCACCCCTGGGTTTAATCTCTAGTACCAAAAACCAAAATCATATTTAAAATTATCAAGTACTCCACAAAAGTATGATGACAGAGTAAAGTCTATGGCTCCAAGGTTAAAGGGGATGCTTTCTTAGGATTCTGAATGTATACGTAAGAAGTGGATGTAATCTCAAGAAAGAGAAATTCCAAGAAGTTCTATGGAGTTCATTATCAATAAATAAATATAATATATATATGTATGTATGTATGTGTGTATATATATGACTTCCCTAACTGTTGAGAAATTAAAATTTGAAATGGGAATCCACCTCTAGACGCCCAAAAGAAAAATACCAGGTTACTAGAGCTCTTAAATGCCTGTCAAACTTAAGTGAAACTCCTCTTTGCTTATTAACCCTTCAATATTAACTTTGGAGATGTGGTAGAGGACTTCAATGGATTCCAAACACTTTCTCAAAAGTAGCTGAAATTAACTGAAGCAACAAAGAACTTGGTCAAGAGATTCTAATTTAAAAGTGGGTGATCTATTAAATGTGCAGTAAATAATTTTACACATGTAAATGAACCCATTCAGATATTCAAAACAAGGCACAGAAAACACTCCAAATAACTGGCAAAGAACAACAACAACAACAAAAAAGATAGTTTCTATGTTAATTAATTAATTTAAAAATCAAATAAAATTATATCTCACTAAATCTACCAAGGGCCCAGGTCTAGCTAACATGTTCACATTCTGAATATTTCTTTCACTCCTACCAAACAGAGATCAAAAGAATCAAGGGAATGAATTTATAAAATCATAAAGGGGGAAATGCCAACTACAAAGTAACTTGCCCTTGGTTGTGGTCTTGAGACAACATAGCTGTAGATCCTGTGGTCAGCAGTATTAACCTGTAGGGGTCGGGATGGAGGTGGGTTGAAAACACTCGGTACACCCTCTTGCTCATTCAGCCTGTCTTGTACAGCAGCCTGAGAAGGAAAACAGAACAGCAAGTGTTTCAATGATGTTCACATCAACCCAGAAGAGATGAGGCAACCATTGGGTGTTTTAAAACAGGGTGATCATTACACAAAGGTGATCTGAGTAGTATATTTTCAAACCTGGTTAAAAAACAACACAAAAACAAACAAACAACAATAACAACAACAAAACACAGAGAACTTGTCTGAAAGCTATATCAATGCAGCAAGTATAATGCTTTTAGTCAGATGGTATATATTATTCAAGGGAGCTGGGATAACAAGGTGCATCACTGTACAATCCCAAGAAAAGCCATTAACAGGGAACAACACAGTGTAGAGATCCCCTGGGGTTGTGCAATGGAGCAGTTCTGATGAGTGGCATCTGACTGTAGGACTCTGGCATCGGTCTGCACCCTAGCTTCATCATTCAGAAAAGGCACTCAATTTATAAGCCTCAGATTCCTTATGTGCAAAATGAAGGTATTTTAAAAAACTCATTCTCATCTCAATTCTGCCCTTGAAAAGGGGGCTATCCCATAGTAGTAAAAAATTTGGCCATACCCAATGAAATGTCTGCTATCTTGGGCGGTAATCTATGCCATATCTCATAGAAGTACCTTTTTGTTTGTGGGTTGTAGTTAGAACTGCCTCACCCAATAGTCTTGGGGTGAAGACTGGCCACGCCAGAAAGAAAAACCATGTGACTTAGGGTGGGGCCTTTGAGTAACTTGGTTATTAGTCAATTGGAGACTGAGTTCAACCATATAAGTAATTAAATCAATTATGCCTATGTAATGAAGCCCCCCACACCACCCCCCCAAAAAATCCTCAACATTCCAGACCACAACTAGTTGACAAAACTTCAGGTATATTGCAAAACACCTGTGCCAGGATGGTAATGCATCCTGATTCCATAAGAGAGGAGTATGCAAGTTTTACATTTGGATCCCTTTGAGACTCTGCCCTTTGTGTCTCTTTAGCTGATTTTAATTTGTATCAGTTCCCTTTAATAAACTGTAACCACGAGTGTAACAACTTACATGAGTTCTAGTGAATTATCAAACCCCAGGATGATTTTTGATATACTTTGAACTTGCAGTTGGTATCAGAATGGGGAGTAAGGCCTTGGAACGCCATATATTCTCTAAACTTGATAGCCAGTTTTAAACTGTGTGGTTTGGCTAATTTCAGACATTCTCCTAGTTTTACAATTCAGTGGGGGAAAAAATACTCTTTAAGCAGATGGGGCTGGTTTAACTACTTAGCCACTGCAAAAGAAATTGAACCCCTAAACCTAAACTATGCACAAAATTTAACTCAAAACACACACATTAAGATCTAAGTATAAGAATTAAAATTTTGAAATTTTTTTTCCACATTTTTTATTTTTGTGGTGCTAGGGCTCACCAAGCGTTCTCTACCACCAAGCTGCACTTCCAGTCCATTCTATTTTTTGTTCTGAGACAGGGTCTCACTAAGTTGCCCAGACGGGACCTTGAATTTGCAATTCTCCTGCCCTGGCCTCCTGAGTAGCTGGAATTAAAGATGTGTGCCACTATGCCTGGTTGAAATTTAAATTTTTTTAAAAAATATTTTTTAGTAGTAGATGGACACAAAACCTTTATTTATTTCTTTATGTGGTGCTAAGGATCAAACCCAGGGCCTCACACAAGCTAGGCGAGTGCTCTACCACTGAGCCACAACCTGAGCCCTGAAATTTTAAATTAATAAAAAATTTTTTTTTTAGTTGTAGATAGACAGTTGTAGAATGCATTTATTTATTTTTATGTGGTGCTGAATTGAACCCAGTGCCTCACACGTTAAGCAAGTACTTTGCCGCTGAACTACATCCCCAGCCCCGTTAAAGAAAACAATGATGTAAATCTTCATGAACATGGATTAGGCCATGTTATCTTAGATTTGACACCAAAAGCATAAGCAACAAAGGAAAAAAGTAAAAAACATCTCTTTATCAAAATGAAAAACTTTTATGCATCTAAAGACACTCTCCAGAAAATAAAAAACAAACTTAAAAAATTGGAGAAAATATTTACAAATCATGTCTGACAAGGATCAAGTATCCAGAATATAAAGAATTCTTACAACTCAACACCAAAGACAAACAATCTAGTTTAAAAATAAGCAAAGACATCTTTGCAGATTTATAAATGGCTAACAAGAACATACATAAAGATACTCAACATTGCCAGGGATGGTAGGGCATGCCTGTAATCTCAGTGGCTTGGGAGGCTAGACAGGAGGATCACGCACGGAGTTCAAAGCTAGCCTCAGCAACAGTGAGGTGCTAAGCAACTCCCTGAAACCCTGTCTCTGAATAAAATACAAAATAGGGCTGGGAATGTGGCTCAGTGGTTGAGGGCCCCTGAGTTCAATCCTCATACCAAAAAAAAAAAAAAAAAGAAAGAAAGAAAGAAAAAGAAAAAGAAAAGAAAGGGGCAACTCATGTTACATTCCAAAATAAATTATTAAAAAAAAAAAAAAAAAAGATACTCGACATCATTTCAGTCATTAGGAAAATGCAAATCAAAACCACAATGAGGGCTGGAGTTGTAGCTTGGTGATAGAGCCCTTGCCTACAATGTGTGAGGCACTGGGTTTAATTCTCAGCACTGCATATGAACAAATAAAAAAATAAAGGTCCATTGACAACTAAAAAGATATTTTTTTAAAAAAACAACACAATGAAATACTATCTCATACCCCTTAGAATGGCTAAAATTGAAAAGATGCTAACAAGTATTGGTAAGGTTATGGATAAATTGGGATATTCATACATTACTGTTGGAAATTAAAATGGTACATTTTGAAAACAGTCTAGCAGGTCTTCAATAGTTCCCATATGGCCCAACAATTTCTACTTCTAAGTATATACTCAAGAAAACTAAAAATATACATTCACACAAAAACTTGCATACTAATTCACTGCAACATTATTAACAGCCCAAAGTGGAAAAACCCAATTATCAATCAAATGATGAATGAAAATACTGTGGTGCTATGGTCTGCATTTTTGTAAACCACCCTCCCCAATTTTCCTATATCAAAACCCAGCAACCAGTGTGGTAGGACTCATGATTAGTGACTTTTTTTTTTTTTTTGGTGGTGCTGGGGACTGAATCCAGGGCCTTGTGCATGTGAGGCAAGCACTCTACCAACTGAGCTATATCCCCAGCCCAGGATTAGTGACTTTTAAAAGAAGCCCTAGACAGCTGCCTACCCCTTCCACCATGTGAAAATACAGTAAGAAAGTGTCACATGTGAACCAGAAAATGGAAACTCACTAGACAGTGCCTTCATTTTTCCAGTATAAGACATAAATTTCTTTTGTTTATAAGCCCTCCTGGTTATGATATTTTGTTGTAGTAGATGACTGGTCTAAGAGGTGATTAGTCTTAAAATTCCTTCACAGAGGAATTTTTTTTTTTGATGGTGGTGCTAAGGATTAAACCCAGGAACTTGTGCATGCTAGACAAGCACTCCAGCAAAGTTACACCCCCAGACCATTGGGAATATTTTTTGACCATAAAAAGGAATGAGTACTGATCCAAGCTACAAGATGAACCTTGAAAACATATAAGTCAGTCACAAGAGACCACATGCTCTGATTCTATTCATATTAAAGTTTAGAAAAAAGAAATCTATACACAGAAAGTAGACTAGTTAGGGGTGGAAGGGCAGAAAGTAATAGTTAAAGAGTATGGGGTTTCTTTTTGGGGTAATCTTCTAAATGATCTAAAATATTTTTATGAAAATGTTTTAAAATTGATTGTGATAGTAACTGTACAAGTCTGTGAATATGAGTTGGAACCTAAGGGAATTTTACCACTGAACTACATCCTCAAACTTATTTATTATTTTGAGACAGGGTCTTGCTAAGTTGCTGAAGCTGGCCTCCAATTTGCAACCTTCCTGCTCATTCTCAAATTGCTGAGATTACTGGTGTGCTCCACAGCACTCAGTTAAACATAGTTATCTTTTATAAAAGTTTTTTTTTTTTTGGGTACTGGGGAGGCACTCAACCCCTAAGCCACCTCCCCAGCTCTATTTTGTATTTTATTTAGAAACAGGGTCTCACTCAGTTGCTTACACCTCATCATTGATGAGGCTGGCTTTGAACTCATGATCCTCCTGTCTTAGCCTCCTGAGACACTGGGATTATAAGCGTGCATGCGCCACTGCGCCCAGCAAAAGTAATTTTAATAGTTTTTGTTGTTATTGTTTTTGTGGTACTGGGAATCAAAATCAGGGCCTCATGCATACTAGGCAAAACTATGTACCCCCAGTCCAACATATAATGAGCTGTTTTAAAAATAAATTAATAAACTTCATTAGTATCTATAAACTAAAACTCCAGTTCACTTGGGAAAAAGCTCTGATCTATATAGGAAGTATATAACAAAAATATTTTTAGGGGCTGGGGATGTGGCTCAAGCGATAGTGTGCTTGCCTAGCATGCATGCGGCCTGGGTTCGATCCTCAGCACCACACACAAATAAAGATGTTGTGTCTGCCGAAAACTAAAAAAAAATAAATATTAAAAAAAATTCTCAAAAATATATATTTTTAGATGGGCATTAATAATATGTGGACAAAATCAAAAGAAATTGTTAGCTGGGTATGGTGGCACACACCAGTAATCCCGCTGACTGAGGAGGCTGAGGTAGGAGGTTCTTGAGTCAAGGTCAGCTTAGGAAACTTGATGAAACCCTGTCTCAAAATAAAAAATAAAAAGGGTTGGGGATATGGCTCAGTGGCAAAGTGCCCCTGGGTTAAAGTGCTCTCCAGGACAAAGGGTGGGGATGGGAGAAGATAGTTAACATGGCAGTGTTAGGAAAGCAGGACTAAGAAACAATGTAGGAAAGTGATATTAATGGAATTTCTTTGATACTTTATCTTAGGCTTTCTTTGAACTTTTGAAAAACTAAAATTATTTTTATATATTTTGTCTATTATTTTTACAAGCTACTAAAATAGATTAAAGTGAAAAAAATTGCAAATATTGCACAATCCTATCTCAAAAAATTAAATATAAATCCATATAGTCATTTCAAAGGGCTGGAGTTGTGGATCATTGGTAGAGCACTTGCCTAGCATGGGTGAAGCACTGGGTTCGATTCTCAGCACCACATATAAATAAATAAAATAAAAGGTGCATTGACAACTAAAATATATTTTAAAAATAGTCTATTTTTTAAAAATCCATATAGTCATTTCAATAGAGATTCAGAAAGAAAATACACTAAAATATAACAATATCTATACATAAAGTGGTTTATAGGTGATAGATTTCTTCTTTATGCTTTTTGAAACCTTTTGCCTATGTGGGTGTGTAACATGTACATGGCTTTTCCTTTTTAGTGCAGAGGTACTCTAACATGGAGCTGCATGCCCAGCCCTTTTTAAATTTTTATTTTGAGACAGGTCTTATTAACTTGCTACGGCTGGCCTTCAACTTTTGATCCTCCTGTCTTAGCCTCCTGAGTTGCTGGGATTACAGGCATGAGTCTATAATATTAATAAGTCTATAGTATTAATGCCTTATAGCATTAATATTCTAAGAATGGATTCAGTCAACAGATATTTATTGAGAGTCCATGATGTGCCAAGCTCAGTGTTATATGCTGGGAACAAAGCAGTTAATAAAACTAGAAGAGGGCTGGGGACATAGCTCAGTTGGTAGAGTGCTTGCCTTGCATGCACTAGGCCCTGGGTTCGATTCCTAACACCACACACACAAAAAAACCTAGAAGAAAGAAACAAACAAAAATCCTCTGCTCTCATAAAGTTTACGTTCTGGTGAATCTAACTCAAAGCAACAACCAATATTATAACTGATAATACAATATCAGAAACATGACAGTGAGAACAGATGTTTGCTACTACCATTGCTGATTTAGACAATATTCTAAAGTTCTAGCCAATTCATAATCAAATAAAAGAAACAAAAGATGCAAGTAATGAAAAAAAAAATCACTGAGCTGCAAATGACATGATCACCTAGAAAACCCAAAAGAATAAGCTACAAAATATGTAATAAGAAGGTTCACATTAAAGTATCTGGTTAAACACCAAATATAAAAATCTAAAAGTTTTCTCAAACAGCCATTAAGAAAAATTAAGAAGGGAATAAGAGTACGGGATTTCTTCACCATTTATGATCTCATACATTTTTGACAGGCTTTCTCCATTTCCCACACCTTTAATTTCGGGGAAAGGTTCCTGCCATGGAAAAATACATATTGTTGATTCTTTGTCAGACCAGGACAACAAATGGAATAAGCTTAGAACAAATCCTATTATACCTCTATGTTCCAGTTATGCTGTTCCAAAGTATGGCGACATTGATCCATAGACTCTATGCCAGTCAGATCCTAAAAAGAAAGATAAAAGTTACTTAAGAAAAAATCAATAGTACTTACTTTTTTGTTTGGAGCACTTTTACCCCAAAGGAATCCTTATTGAATAATGATAGGAAAATGCACTAAATGTTTAAAGTAGATGTTTAAAGCATGGTAAAACTTTGATTAAAAATTTATCTAGGCCAGGTACAGTGGCGCACATGTGCAATCCCAGGGACTTGGGAGGATAAGACAGAAGGATCACCAGTTCAAAGCCAGCCTTCACAACTCTGCGAGGCCCTATGTAACTCAGTGAATTTCTTTCTCTAAATAAAATACAAAAAAAGTCTGGGGATGTGGCTCAGTGGTTAAGCATCCCTGGGTTCAAAAAAAAAAAAAAATTAACTATTCTAGACTCACAGAATTTCTAAAACTTCAAGGCTTTCAATTAAAGAGAACTAGTGATTAAAATCAATTTTTCTCACTCAAATTCAAGTTAAAATTTTAAATATTTCGTCAACCTCTGGGTCTAGCAAAATATTTTCTAAAGGTAAACAACTATTCTGATTTTAATATATAATGATACAATGCAGTTTTCCTGCAAAATGCTATGCCTTTCCTTAATTTATATCACTTTATAAATAGCTTCAATATGAACTATATAAAGCTTTTTATGAAAAAGAATCTGTAATTCAGATGTTTTCCCCCACTCTCCTCAGACTATTCTAAGGTTTCAACTAGACCCTGACCAAAACTCCTTCTCTGGTTCCTCTTCTTCTTATCCCTCTAAATGTAATTTCCTAAGGATGTATCCTTGGTTTTTGTCTCTCTCTTTGGCAATCTTATTCAATCCCCAACCTTCAAGCATCCTTTCTATGTAGAACTGCTAGTACAATCTCTGGGCCCACTATTTCTTCCGATTCTTAGCAACACTTCCAGTAGCCCATTCACCACATCCACCAAGACAAGGCACAGTACCTCATTCAAATCCACCCTTTAAAATTACTGTATCTGTTAGTGATACCACAAAAACATCCAGACAGAAGACATCTGGCTGGGTGTGGTGGCACACAATTACAATCCCAGCATTAGAGAAACTGAAGTAGGAGGATAAAAAGTTTTGAATAGCCTAGGCAATTCAGGAAGTTCTTGTCTCCAAATAAAATAAAAGGGGATGTGGGGATAGACCTCAGTGGTAGAGCACTTGACTAGTATACAGGAGGCCCTGAGTTCAATCCAATCCCCATTATCACAAAAAATGAAAAAAAAAAAAAAGAAATCTGGAAACCTCAACCTCACCTTGCCACACTTCATCGGTAAACAAGTTTTGACAGTTCCATTTTCCATTTATCTTACATCTGTAACATTTCCATTTTCACAGCCAGACTCTTTAATTAACCTTTCATAACACCTCAAATCAACTGTCAATAATTTCTCTCTTTCCTTTTGATTCTTATTCCTGTGTATTTAGTGTGTTTGTGTGCATTACTCCTCTGTTCAAAACCTTTTAACAGTCAGTTGAAATAATTTCAAGTTATTTTTGTTATTTAAATGAAAGTAATAATTCCAAAATCCTTAGCCCGGATTTAAGTGTTTCTATAATGTGAACCCAATCTGGCTTTCTAGGTTATTTCCCTCAATAATTGCCTTGAGGGGGCTGGGGGTGCAGCTCAGAGGTAGGGTGCTTTCCTAGTATGCACAAGGCCCTGGGTTCAATCTCTAGTGCTGCCCCACATCCAAAAAGTTTCCCTTCAGATGCCCAATACCTAGTAAATCTAATAGTTCATTGCATATATGATATCCAGTGAGCTAAACCCTAGCCTTCCTTCAAGGACCACTACAGGCGTCTTATCTTTCCATCCATTCACCTTTTCATTCAACAAATGCCTACTGTGTGCCTATTCTGTATAGCAAGTATATAATGTCTAAGGGCTAGAGAAATGAGGTAAAAAGTCTATATCCTCAGGAAACTTCTCTTGATAACTGACAATCATCAGGACAAAGAGTGATCTCAACCTGACAAGAATACATTGACATAGATTAACTAGTCATAAGACTCAAGTTCTTGCTTGATTTTGCTCTCCATATTCATGGACAGACATATTTTAAAACATTCTGGAATTTATTTTCCTTTATTTACAACATGAGGGGTTTAATTTGGACTCAATATCCTTTACAGAGCTTGAAAAAACAAAAACACTAAAGCTTGGATTTTTCAGGACTTATTTATTTATTTGGTGCTGGGTACTGACCCAGGGATCCTCTGCCACATCCCCAGCCCCTTTTATTTTTTGAGATGGGGGTTTGCTAAATTGCCTAGGTTGGCACCGAACTTGCGATCCTCTTGCCTTACCCTCCTGAGTTGCTGGGATTACAGACATGCACCACCATGCCTTGCTATAATTGTTTGTTTTTTAAAATTCACAAGTGATAAATAAACTTTCTAATTAAAAATGTTTAAAGTTTGAATTACTATTAAAAACTCCAATACTAAAATTAAAAAAGTATTAATAGCTATACAACTCTGTTAAGAAATGATGACTTCAATAGCTCTGACAATCTGAATTTTATTTCCTGACCATTCCAGGCCTTTTTCCATTTTGGCAATGATCTTCTTTCTGGCTTGTGACAGGCCCTCCTTACTTTTCAATTTCCTACATTACAGTCCATATAAAGGACTTCCATGTCCTCTTTCTCACTGTGTATTCTCTTTAAGAATTAGACTATAGTTGGGTGCAGTGACTCATGTCTATAATTCCTGTGTCTCAAGAGGCTGAGACAGGAAAATCACAAGTTTGAGGTCAGCCTGAACAACTCAGCAAAACCTTTATCTCAAAAGTAAAATAAAAAGGGTTGGAGATATAATTCAGAGGTATTGTACTCCTGGGTTCAATCTCCAGTGCAACAACAACAACAAAAAGGAATGAAACTCCACGGGCTGGAGTTGTAGCTCAGCAGTAAAGCACTTGCCTGGCCCTTGCAAGGCGCTCAGCACCACATAAAAATAAATAAAATAAAGGTATTGGGTCCAATTACAACTTAGAAAATATTTAAAAAAAAAAAAAAAAAAAAGAAGAAATGAAACTCTAATTTTACCGGGCTGGGGATGTGGCTCAAGCGGTAGGGCGCTCGCCTGGCATGCGTGCGGCCCAGGTTCGATCCTCAGCACCACATGTTGTATCCGCCAAAAACTAAAAAATAAATATTAAAAAAAAAATTCTCGCTCTCTCTCTCTCTTTTAAAAAAAAAAACAAAACTCTAATTTTACCTTCTCACAGGAGTCTGAAGGATCACTCCCTACCTAAAATACCAAAATTGTTTTCTAATTTCTACTATAATTATTTACATCCATGCTACTGCCTTCTCAGAGGGTGTAGGTTCCTTGAAAGCAGTGTCCATGATTCACTTATGATATTCCCTAGCACCTAGCCCATAGAAAGAGCTTAAACAGCTACAGAAAAAGTTAGTGCAAATTAAAAAGATTTTGCGTGTATGTTCAATAGTACTAAAACTGAATTCTTCTAGAAATTATCATAAAATCTTACTGTATAACCATATACTGATTTTTTTTTTTTTTAAGTGCTGGGGATGGATTTTAGGGCCTTGTGAATGTAGGCAAGGGCTCTACTACTGAACTACCCTCAGTCCCAGTGGGATTTATTATTTTTTCTTTTTCTTTTTTTTTTAGTTGTAGAAGGACACAATACCTTTATTTTATTTATTTATTTTCATATGGTGCTGAGGATCGAACCCAGTGCCTCACACAAGCTAGGTAAGTGCTCTACCACTGAGCCATAACCCCAATAACCCCAGTGGGATTCAGAAACACCAAATGTTCAATTAATTAGATGCCAGACTACATGTTAAAAATACAAAATTGTAGAACCTTCCTAATCAGGAAATAGTACTTTTTTTTTTAAGTTCCTCAGCTAACCTTTTTTTTTTTTTTAATTCCTCAACTGATTCTAATTACAGCAGGACTAGGAAGTCAGTGGTTATTAATATGCAATTCCAAGTATGAGCAGAGATATTTGTTTTTGAAGTACCATGGATTGAACTCAGGTCCTTGATCTCGGCAAATACTCTATCCCTGAGATACACTTCAACCCTGGAACAAAGATTTTAAGTCTCTTATTAAAACATATTTTTTAAAAAGGGTTATCAACATGTAGGAGAGAATAAAGTAATTGCACATTTTCAATATACTGAAATAACCTAATCTGCAAGCAAATCCCTTTTGTAAGTAGTGAGGCAGTTAATCAGGAAGCTGAATTGAACAAATCTGCTTTCAGATACTGTTAATCATGAAACCATGACTAGGAATAAGACTAGACACACCTAGGACAGGATTATTCATTCATACATCAAGATATTTTTACTGACCCAGTATTTTAAATATTCAGGAAACAGAAAAGTCCCTGCTCTCACTAAATTTGTATCTTAGTAGAGGGAGATTGTCCAAACAATACAGAGAAAAAGAGAGAGAGAAGAAATTAAATGAATACAATTTTTCATTTTGTTCGGAGAGTCCTTTAGGTTGAATGCCCAAGGAAGGCCTCCCCATTGAGCACAGAAGGGAATGAAAGATAAGGGGGTAACCATGGGGCAATATGTAGGAAGATTATTTCAGGCAAAAGGACAACAAATGTAAAAATTCTAAGACAAATAGATGTGTGACACCTTGCGTTTATCAAAACTAACTTCACAGCGTGAATCTTAATGTATGCAAATTTAAAAAATCATATAGGATGCCAGGTGATTTCTGGATGGAGTACAAACTGTGATGAAATAATCTAATTGTATTTCAAATAAATTAAACAACCTCACTGAAGCAGGTGTAGAAAAGGTGCTGACCTAAGTAACTTTGGAAATGACTGGAATCTAAGACAAAAGGCAACAGGTACTACAAATAAGCACTAAGAGTCTTCCATAGGACTCTCTATTAATCTGAAGCTGCTGAATCTATATATGTACATTGAAACTGAACAAATAAGTAAATATATGATAGATGGTGGGAGCCAGATTTTTCACTG